ACGCTGACGACATAGTTAAGCGAGTCCCAACTAGTGCAAAAAGCTGCTTCCAGAACTTCGAGGTGAATCTAGGGTCGCGGTCGGAAATGATCGAATCTGGAACCCCGTGCAGTCGGACTACGTGATCTACAAACAGCGTCGCGGCTTCCTCTGCTGTGACCTGGCCGTGCGTGGGGATGAAGTGCGCTGCTCGAGAAAACTTATCCACTACCACGAAGATGGCGTCGTGACCCCTAACTGTGCGTGGTAAAGCCATGATGAAGTCCATGGTAACTACCTGCCAAGGGCGGTCGGGCGGTGGAATCGGCTGCAAGAGTCCTGCTTTGCGCTGGCGGGATGATTTCGTACGCTGACACGTGTCGCACGAGCGAATGTAATCCTCTACGTCTGCTGCAAGCCCTGGCCAGAAGTACGTGCGACTAAGGGTCTTAGCCATCTTATCTGCTCCGAAATGCCCTGCACTAACTACGTCGTGTGCCTCTGAGAGAAGGAGCTGTCGAAGAGGGCGGTAGGCTGGAACCCAAATCCGTGCTGTGCCCTTCCGTATGTAGACACTACCCTGCACCTCTGCTCCTGCGGGCGGCTGCGGTGTGAAGTCGGGATCTACTGTGTAACCGTGCTCGAAGAGTGCTGTGAGAAGTGGATGGCCGGCAGTGACTGTGAGACTAGCGAGCTGGCAACTAGGGCGAGTGAGCGGATCTGCTGGGTTGCGCACGCCTGGCTTGTACTCTATCCTGTAATGAAAGCTCCCCTCCATGAACTCCATCCATCTAGCCTGGCGACGACTCAGCTGCGGCTGCGACTTGAGGAAACGAAGCGAACAGTGGTCCGTGCGTATAACACTATCTGCCCCCTCTAGGTAGCACCTCCACACCTTATACGCATGGATGATCGCGAGCGCCTCCTTGTCGTGTATGGGATAGTTCAACTCCGCTCCCCTCAGCTTACGCGACTCGTACGCGATCGGCTGCAACCCGCGTCCCTGGTCCTGAAGAAGCACTGCTCCTATGGCCTGATCGGAAGCGTCGGTCACTACAACGTACGGGCGAGTGGGATCGGGGTACGACAGTGTCGGTGAAGACGTGAGCGACTGCTTCATCTGCTCGAACGCCTGCTGCTGTGCTGGACCCCAAACGTACTCTACGCCTTTCCGAAGTAGGTCGGTGAGTGGACTAGCGATGGAAGCGTAACCCTGAACGAAACGGCGGTAGTAATTCGCGAAACCGAGGAAGCTCTGCAACTCCTTGACTGAGGTCGGTGCCACCCAATCCTGTACGGCTGCGATCTTCTTCGGGTCGGTCCTAACGCCACTAGCGGATACGACGTGTCCTAAGAACTCGACCTCGGGGAGGAAGAACTCGCACTTAGACTGCTTCGCGTACAGCTTCTCCCTCCGCAAGACCTCAAAGACCCTCTGCAAGTGCTGCACGTGCTCCTCTTTCGACTTAGAGAATATCAAGATGTCGTCTAGGTAAACTACGACGAACGAACCTAGGAACTCCGAGAGGACTGTGTTCATGAGCGTCTGGAACGTTGCTGGGGCGTTGGTCAAACCGAACGGTAGAACCCTAAACTCGTACAACCCCTGCTTCGTACGAAACGCCGTCTTGTGCTGGTCCTCTGGAACTACGCGAATCTGGTGGTAACCCGAACGAAGGTCGATCTTGGAGAAGACTCTAGCGCCCTGCACTGCATCGAGAAGATCCTCTACTCTCGGCACCGGGAATCTATTCTTGACGGTGGCGGCGTTCAGTGCGCGGTAATCTATGCACATCCGTAACCCTCCGTCTTTCTTAGGCGCGAACAGGATCGGTGCGGCCCAAGGCGATCTCGATGGCTGAATGAACCCCTGTGCTAGGAAGTGCCTAACCTGCTGCGTCATCTCCTCTGTCTCTGCTGGACTCAACCTCCACTGCGGCTTCGCTACTGGCCTGCTCCCCGGCTCCAACTCTATTCGATGGTCTACTGCTCGGCTGGGAGGTAACCCTGGGGGCAACTCGTCGGGGAAGACGTCTGCGAACTCTGCTAACAGTGCACTCACCTCAGCAGGAAGAGTCGCCTTCTCACTAACTGCTGCACTCCCTCCTTTCCCCTCCTCAGCTTCCACCTCCTCAAGGAAAACCGCGAAGATCCGTGCCGCTCGCTTCACTAACTGTCGCACACGAACAGCATTAATGATAGCTGTGGAGGATGTGGCCCCATCGCTCCACTGTGGCAGCTCCCGGAACTCCCCGTCTACCTTGACACTGCAGCTTCCCTTAGCCCAATCGAACCGAGTGCAAACCGTCCGTAGCCAATCTCTCCCGAAGATGAAATCGTATCCGTCCAGCGTCGCAGAGTCGAAGTCACGCCTAACTGTGATCGGTCCTAGCACTACGCGCAACTTGCGAATGATTGGTCCTATGTTGAGTGGCGTCCCATCTACCATGCGCGCGTCCTTGAAGTTGACTGCAGAATCTGCTTCGAGATGGAGACGACTAACTAACGACGAAGAAATGAAAGAGTGGCTAGCTCCGCTGTCTACTAGGATCTTGACAGGTACACCGCGAAGCTTCCTTAGAAGCACGACTGGATGATCAACAGTGTCTACCGAGGTCTCCGTAGATGACTGCTGCAAGGCCGTCTCCTCTACGTTGGTAGACGTGGCGGGTACGGGAACCTCCACACCAGCTAGCGACCCGCTATCTACTGGCGGTTTCCGTTTCCCTGCTGCTGCTCCTTGAACTGTGGACAGTCCCGCTTCATGTGACCCGGCTTTTTGCAGTAGTAACAGTTCCCCCTAAAACCCGTCCGCTGTGAACCGTCACTGTTAACTGCACCAATCTCCATGGGCGATGGTCCGTCCCTCGATCGAGCGTCGTTGATCGGTCTGCTGTATCCCCTATCGCGATCGTCACGACCCCGTCGGCTTCGTACTGCGTCGACGCGTTCTGCTGCTGCGACTACTGACTCGAAGGTGGACAACCCGTGAATCGCTATAACCTCCGCTATGTCCGCCTTCAACCCTTCGAGGTAGCGATCGCGCATCTCTGCTTCCGTGATGTCGTCTATTTCGTTGCAGATGCTCAAGAACCGTCGTGTGTACTCCTGGACGTTTCCTATCTGTCGGAAATGACGCAGACGCTTCCTAGCAGCTTCGGAGGCGTTCACCAAGTCGAACCTACTTTTCAGCGCCGTTCAAATCCTTCCCATGTGGTCGGAACCGTGGTAACACCCAAAGCTAAACTCCCTAAGCTCGAAGTTGCAGCTGCATGCCCCACGCCCTGTTGATGCCCGTCCGTCTGAGCCCTTCTAACAGCAGTCTGCGTAAGTTGGCGCCACCACTCCAAGGCCGGGCCCCTCAGCAGCGTCACCGCGTACTCGATCCGCTGCTGCGCGTCCGCCTCTTGCACCCCGCTCGCGGCGAAGTAGTTGTTGAGCATGAAGAGCCACGTCCGCACGTTCGCGTCGCGTTGGCTCGGGTCGAACGACTCGGGCTTCTGCGGCTTGAGTGCGCTTCGACGTTCCGGCAGCGCTTCCGCGCCAGTCGACGTGGTGGGTGCAGGAGTTGGTGCGGCATGACCATGGGGGTTAGAAGCCAATTCACGAAGCTGTTGCATTTCAGCTCGTACCTGACGATTTTCCAACGTCAACTCTTGAAGTTGGCGCATGAGTTCGGCAAGCGTGTTGCCCATGTCGTGGGGGAAAGCGTTCATGGATTCGTCCATGTTCGCTCGACGACTCCAAGTCTGCAAGTCGGCACCGCGGGACGATGACGTCGTAGTCTCGTCGTCGACGGTCGCTCGTTGGAAGTCGCTCCCCGCGAAGGCTCTTGATACCAAGTGTTAGGCCCGACGGCCTAAGTCCGCTAAAGAATTAGCGGGGTCGACTAAGTCGAGGATGAAACGCGGCGGAAGACTTTGGCGAAAGAACTATTGGCGAAATATGCGAAGGAGTTACTGAGTAATGAAAGAGTTGAACGAGAATTGGTTGATAATGGCAAGTACAAGCAAGGTTTATATAGCGAACAAGAGAGAATGTTGGAAAGTAGTTTGTGGGACAAGGAATTGGAAAGCTAGAAAGGTAGAGTGCCACGTGGCACAAGGAAATCTAGGAAATCCCAAAGGGATTGGATGAAGATAGGGTTGGGATAAGGTTGGGGGTCTGTTTAGGGTAAACTACCCTTGAACAGGAAAGTACCCCGTAACAGTTGCATGAGTAATTACAAATGTTACTGAGAATTAAGTTCTGAAGTGGTCCACTCGATGGGAATGCTGGGTTATATTTTTTGCTAGGCAGCAATTCTCAGTTCGGAATATGGGCTTGTTCTGGAACATTCTCTTGTGATTCTGGTCGGCTCGACTTTTCACATTTGGCGAAATCCCGTTTGGCAATTTCTTATATTGCACAAAGTGTCATTTCGAAGAATACCCCCTTCCATTCCCCTGTAATTCGCCAACACGGATTTCGCAAAATTTGTGAAGTCTCTCAATTCGCCATCTGGCAGTTTCTGAGATGCTCGAAAGTTTCTAGAACATCACACTCTCGGCAGTATGTGAATGATCACACTGCCAGTTCAGTAAGACTCCGAATCTTTACATCACTGTAACACATATATGTCAGTGGGGGACCAAAACTTCTGCCACTGTATAGTCGTGGCTACACTATTAGAGCCCGCTGTATCGAATAAGAGGGTGTACTTATTTGGTCCCGCCCGTGGGACTGTTCAAGCCCTGTCAGCGAGGGAACAACAGCGTTGCAGTAGTCAGCTGCAATGGCATTCAGGCACGGAGGGCACCACTGCTGAAACCCCCATTTCTCCTCCAGAAACCGTATGTTGCAATTACCCGTCTGTTCCGGCAGCCACACTGAAGCACAAGGAAATTGCAAATGTCGCACGGTGAATCGATAGATAGGCGTTCAATGCAGAGCGGTGCAATCACCAACAAAATGAATTGCTGATGTCACCAACGAACAGATAGTGGCTGGAGCGTCGCGCGAGGCACGCAGCAGATCGCGCAATGGAGCTTCCGCCGGATGCCCGGCGGGGCAAGAGCCGCGCGGCGGCCGTGAGCCCGTTGGTGCTGCGCGAAATCGTCGCCGTGCGACGCGCGCATCCCGAGCTCGCGAACGAGCACATCGCGACGGCCGTCAACGTGCAGTACGGCACGCGCCTCGGCAGCAGCGACATAGATCGACTGTACCGAAAGGCCACCGTCGAGAGCAGCGTAGGGAAGAATAAATTCGTTCGTTATAAGAACGCGGAGCTTGAGGCGGAGTTAGCGCGGTGGACGCGCGAGAGGCGGCTCCGTCTCGAAGCGAAAAGGGCGGCGCGGGGGAAAGGGGAGGTCCCGAGGTCGAGCATCGTGGCCTACCTGCAGAACTACGCGCGGCGCGTCGCAGAGCGGTTCGGCGTGCCTCCTCTGTTCGAGTTCGAGCGCTGGTGGTGCTGCGAAGTGCTGCGCGACGCGGGTCTCGACGAGTGCGGCGAGGAGGTGGGGACGCGCGCGGGGGACGAGGGGGGGACGCGGGGGAGGGACGAGGCGGAAACGCGCGACACGCAGGGGGAGAAGCAGGACGACCGCGTCGCACGCGATAACGGAGATGCTCCGGACTCCGCTAGTGCTGGCGAAGGCGGCTTAGGCGGCGCTGCGGCAGGCGAGCTGAGTGCGGGCAGAAGCGGTGGGGGCGATGAGGGCGGAGAGCCCGACAAGTCGCAGGTACCTGCGGGCGCACCGTCGTGGGCGCGGGGCAGCGCCGCCGCGGCCGTGCGCTACATCGGCGAAAGCAGCAGCAGAGCGCCTTACGACGGGTCGGGCGCGACGGCGGGCGCGGCCAGCGCGGGCGCGAGCGCGCTGGCGGCGCGCGTGCGGTACGAGGTGGCGATGCTGGCGTGCGTGCGGCCGTTCCTGAGCCCGCGGATCGTGACGGCCGCCGTGCACGCGCGCTACGGGCTGTGGCTCATCCCCAAACACGTCCGCTACATCGTCCAGGAGAGCCGCCGCTGGGTGCGCGCGGGGGACGCGGGGGAGCGCGCGCCTGGCGCGGCGGACGCGGGGGAGAGCGCGCTGGAGGAGGCGGTGGCGCTGTGGGTGGTGGCGGAGGAGGAGGGTGCGGGGCGCGCTGTGAGCCGCGCGCAGCTTGTGGGCAAGGCGAGGGAGCTGGCACGGGGGTGTGGCGTGGAGGAGGGGCGGTGCACCGAGGCTTGGGCGAGCAGGTTCGTGCGGCGCTATGGGCTGCTGCTGCTGCGCCTCGCTGAGACACGCCGGGGCAGCGGGGAGGGGGCTGAGGGGGAGGGGACAGGAATGGGGAAGGGGGAGGGCGGAGGGGCGGGAGGTGGGAGTGGGAGTGAAGCAGGGTGGTGGAGGAGGGGTAGGAGGAAGCTGAGGACGAAAGTTAGGCGCATGGGAACAGCGAGTGACGATGAGGATGCAGAGGGGGAGAACTTTGAGGAGGAGTATGAGGAGGACTGGGCGGGGTACGACGGCTGCCATGCTGCTGGCGATGCCGCTGCTGCTGGTGCTGCCCCTGCTGGCGCTGGCGCTGCTGCTGCAAGTGCTGCTGCTGGGGCGAGCGTGAGTGCGAGCACGGGGTGGGAGAGGGACAGGCGGATGGGGCTGCTGCCGGGGGTGGAGAATCCGTACCGCCATGCGCGCGCTCTGCTCATGCGCCTGGCACGGCAGCACGGCGCCATGCTGCCCGCCCACATGCTGGAGGAGGCGCTGCTGGACGCCCGCCTGCTGCCCCCCCCGCCACCAGCGCCACCCCCATCATCTCCGTTGCCAGCAGCACCAGCAGCGCCAGCAGCACCAGCAGCACCAGCAGCACCAGCAGCACCAGCAGCACCAGCAGCACCAGCAGCACCAGCAGCACCAGCAGCACCAGCAGCACCAGCAGTGGGCCGTGAGGAGCAAGTGACCTCTGCAGTGTCACGGGGAGAGGCGGTGGAGAGGCAAGGGGAGGCAGACCTGGGGCGAGCAGGGGATGGTGGCGGTGGGAGAGGGGAGGGCGCAGTGGGTGGCGCGGGGCAGTCCCCATCCCCGTCCCCCTGGCATGATGATGCATGGCGGTCCGTGGCCCCCCTGCCCGCCATGGACAGCCCTGAGCTGCAGGCGCTGCAGAGGGAGGTGAGCAACGAGAGCAACGAGAGTAACGAGAGTGTTGTGCTGCCCCACTTCCACTTCCTCCGCGTGCCCCCTGCTCTGGGCAGTGGTGGTGTAGGCGGGGGGGGAGGGGGGGCAGGTGGAAGGGGGAGAGAACGAGGAGGAGCAGGAGGAGGCGAGAGTGGCGGTGTGAGCAGGAGAGAGGAGGCCGGCGGCAGTGGAGAAGGCAGGGCGGCAGGGGAGGAAGAGGCGGAGGAGGAGGAGCAGGGAGAGGGGGAGGGGGAGGGCGGGCGGGTGTTTTTGGTGTGTGGGGATGCGGCGGCAGGCGTGGTGGGGGAGCGGCAGCTGCCAGGCGTCACGCTGAGCCGCATCAGAGCCATCTGCCTCGCCGCCCTCGCCCGCCCCCACCTGCCCCACGCGCACCTGCTGCACGCCATTGCCCAGGCATGGGGGGTGGAGCTCTCTCCCCTTCACCTGCGCGCCATCCTCGCCCAGACCACCAGGTGTGCCTCCCTCGCCTCGCCTTCTCCTCCCTTGCTCGCCTCCTCCCTTGCTGGCCCCCATTTACCTCCCTTTCACGCCATCTCCCAGGCCTTGGGGGTGTCTCTCTTCCATGTTGATCTCCTCGCCCAGACCACCAGGTGTGCCTGCCTCGCCCTCTCCCCCCCCCCTGCACGCCATTTTCCAAGCCTGCTCACTTGCCCTCCACCATCCCTGCCCTCCCACTTTCATCTCTGCACTTCCTTTACTGACCCCCCCCCTTTCTCCACACCCCCCCTTCTCCTCACCCCCCCTTCCTTCCCCCACCACCAATCCCCTCCCCCACTCTCCCCTGTGTCCCCCGTCCCGCAGGTGGATGGTGCTGCCGGGGGGCATAGAGAGGGAGGTGGTGGAGGAGCGGGTGAGGGAGCGAGTGAGGAGGGAGGAGGGGCAGCGGGCGGGGCGAGTGGAGGTGGTGCTGCTGCAGTGGGTGCAGCAGCTCTCCGCCACCATCCTCCTCGACCGCGCCCGCTTCTCCTTCCCTCCCGGCTTCCACTGGGGCTCGCCTCTTGCTCAACCCGCCACTGCTGCTACTACCGGTGCTGCTGCCGGTTCTGCTGTCGCAGGTGCTGCTGCTGCCGGTGCTGCAGCTGCCGGTGCTGCAACTTCCAGTGGTGGTCAGAGTGGTGGTGGTGATGATGGTGGCGTTCCTGTTGCATCAGGTGGAGTGATGGAGGAGCACATGAGGCGCCTCTTCGGCCCACTGGACCCGGCAACCGTGGCACCCACCACCAGCGCTGCCGAACCTCACCTTGGTGGGACCGTGGGCGCACGCGCGGGCGGGGGGCTGCTGGGGAGGCACGGGGTGCCGTTCATTCTCACGCGCCCCATGCTGCGCCAGGCAGCGCGCCGCATCGCCCCGCTGCTGTACCGCAGCGGCAGCGGCAGGGGCTGCCCGCGCTTCGAGGTCTACTGGTGCCGCCGCTTCCTGCGCCGCCTCGAGGCTCTGCGCAACCTGGCCCGCCTCAAGCTCTCTGCCGCCCGCCAGGGAGACCCGCCGCCCGTTGTGATCCGGTGGCCTGGGAAGGGGTGTAGGGAGGGAGAGGGCGTGGAGGAGGGGATGAGTGGGGGTGGGACAGACAGAGAGGGTATGATGCGGGATGATGTTGGTTCTGGTTCTGTTGATGCTGCTGCTGGTGATGGTGCCGGTGCTGCTGATGGTGATGGTGCTGCTGCTGCTGATGATGATGCTGCAGCCAGGGCGCGACAAGAGGAGGCATGGCGAAAGCATTTCCTGCAGCGGGTGGAGAGGCATGTGCAGGAGTTGAGAGAGGTGCAGCGAAGCGGGAGAGAGACGTGTGGAGCAGATGAATTGCGTGGAGCAGATGAAACACGTGGAGCAGATGGTTCAAAGGTGGGAGATAGAGGGGAAGCTACACTGGAAGCGAGGGGAAAAGCAAGAGAGGAGGGAATTGGTGGGGGAAAGCGAGATGAGGGAAGACACGAGCGAGATGGGAAAGAGAGAGGGCGTGGGATAGAGGACGATATGACTGACGAGTTGCGGGCTGCAGGAGAGGCGGCGGCGGCACCGGTGCCCGTGGGGGCAGCAGCAGGCACTCCAGCAGCAGTGGTGGTGGCGGCGGTGCAGCGGGCGCTGTGTGAGTGGGTGGCGGAGGGGGTGGTGGCGCGGCGAGCAGACGAGGAGGAGGCGCGGGAGCAGGCGGTGGTGGTGGGCGCGGTGCAGGCGACGTGGGGCGTGGCGGTGGGCGAGCAGCACCTCGCCCTGCTGTGGCAGCAGCGGGATGAGTTGCTGGGGGACGGGTGGGAGGGAAGGATCAGAGCACGGCTGGCAGGTGCCGTGCAGCAGAGGGAGGGTGGGGAGGGCAGGGCGGAGGCGGGTGGGGAGGAGGTGATGGCTGGGGATGATGGTAAGGGGCAGGTGGGGCAGGAGAGGCAGGTTGGGCAGGTGGGGCAGGAGAAGGGGCAGGTGGGGCAGGAGAAGGTTCAGGTGGGGCAGGTGAGGCAGAAGAAGGGGCAGGTGGGGCAGGTGGGGCAGGAGAAGGGGAAGGTGGGGCAGGTGGGGCAGGAGAAGGGGCAGGTGGGGCAGGAAAAAGGCGTGCATGGTGACCCCAGCGTGCATGGCGACCCCAGCGCGGTGCTGCTGCAGTGGGTGGCGTGGCGGGACGTGCGTGCGCTGCTGCAGGCACTGGATGGGCCGCAGTGGCACGCCAGGCTGCTGGCGCGCGTGGCATGCAAGGTGGATGGGGGGGCTTTATGCAGGAGCGGGCGGGACCACTGCACTGTGCATGCGGTACCGCAAGGTGCATGCAGGGAAGGTCAGGACCAGCGCTCGGTACATGCAGTGGCGGAAGGTGCTTGGAGGGACAGGCGGGGCCGGCACACGGTTTATGCTGATGATGGTGGTGATGGTGGTAATGATGTTGATAGTGATGATGGTGGTGGTGCTGGCGATGATGGTGGTGCTGCCATGGCTTGGATCATGGCCACACAGCGAGCACCCGGTGGGAGCTCGACCCCACCCTGCAGGGCGGCAGTACAGCGCAGCGCCTGCCTGCCAGGCACGGCCGATTGCTCCCCGCCCCACCGCGCCCATGACAGGTGCAGCGCCGGCAAGTGCAGCACTGGCGGTGGGGGTGGGACCAATGGCACATGGGCAGAGCAGAGCAACGGGTGCATGGGGTGGCGCACAGGCAGCAGCAGCAGCAGCAGCAGCAGCAGCAGCAGCAGCAGCAGCAGCAGCAGGCAGATGGCAGCACGCGCACTCCACACAGACTGCAGCAGCAATGCCCGCACGCTTGCACGCTCGCACAGCACCTGCTGGTCCCGGGCCTGCTTCTCTTCCCCTGCGCTCCTCTCATCTGCAGGCATTGCAGCAAATCCAGCATCTCATACAGGGCGGATCTCAGCCCAGTCCCGCACAGCCCATTCTGGCACAGCCATGCCACCCAGGGTCTTATCCACCCACCTCGTTCCAATCCACCTCATATCAGCCCACTTCTTATCAACCCACCTCCTATCAGCCCGCTTCTTATCAAACCACCTCCTATCAGCCAGCTTCTTATCAACCCACCTCTTATCAGCCCACCTCTTATCAGCCCACCTCTTATCAGCCCACCTCTTATCATCCCAGCTCCCGTTCACTTGGCACACCCCAACCGAGTCGTTTCCACCACCCCTATGCTTCCCAGCAGCACCCTCCCCTCTCTCACGTTCCCTCCTCTCACCCTCCCCCCTCTCACCTTCCCTCCTCTCACCCTCCTCCCTCTCACCCTCCCCTGTCTGCATACGTTGTGGGTCAGGGAACGGGAAGGCGGGAGGGGAGGAAACGGAAGTTGCAGCGATTGAATCGGGCAGGTGGAAAGCTTCTGAAGGATGGGCGGGCAGGGAAACGGGCAGCAAAAGGATCAGCTTTTCAGAACGCATGGAAGATGCTGATGGTGCAAGGGGGTGAGGAGGGAGAGGAGGGAGAGGAGGGAGAGGAGTTTGAGGAGGGAGAGGATGGAGAGGAGGAGATGCAGCGAGACAAGGAGAAATCGAAGCGCAATGGGAAGCAGAGGAGGGTTACATGGGGGGATGTGTGCAAGGGAGTGAATAGCAGGTGGGATGGAGAGGCAGGGGTTGATGGTAGAAGCAGTGGTGGCGATGGCAGTAGTGACAGTGAGAGCAGTGCGAGTGAGAGTGAGAGTGGGAGTGAGAGTGGGAGTGCAAGTGGGAGCGAGAGTGACGGGGCTGAGGAGGGCAGCAGAGATGAGAGCGCGCAGGGAGGGGAGAGCAGGCGAGCTCACCCAGGTATCACAGCAGGTAGAGGGCAGCAGGCACGAAGAGGGGGCGGGGGCGCGGGCAGTGGGGTGAGCAGCAGCACATGTGGGGCAGGCAGCAGGTGGGGGAGGTTGCATCCAGGGCTGGAGTTCTTTGTGCAGGCAGAGGCAGCAGCCATGCAGGGCACCCCTGGGGAAGGTACATCTGTGCCGCTCCCTCATTCCCAGAATCTAGCTGAAGCAGTGGTGGCGACGGCACTTGTGGCGGCAGCAGTGGCCACTCCTGCTGCCACTGCTCGTGCTGCCACTGCTCCTGCTGCCACTGCTCCTGCTGCCACTGCTCGTGCTGCCACTGCTGATGCTGCCACTGCTGTCATTGCCAGGGAGGAGGCATTGGGTAACCTTGGGGGGGAGCCGCCCACTGCCGGCACTGCTGATTCTGCCACAGCGGCTAGTTCTTTTGCTGCTGCTGCTGCTGTTGGCAATAGTGGTACTCGTGATAATCAACATGCTGCTGAGTTTGGTAATGCTGGTGTTGCTGCTGCCACTGCCACTGCTGCTGCTGGTGGCGGCATGGAGGCGATTGTGACACCAGGGGTGGTGAGAGCCATGGGGGGGATGGGGACCATGGAGACCCCAAGCAGGCAGCATGGCTCTCATCATCCACCCAGGATGGCTGCCACTGGCTCCGATGCTGCCATGGCGTTGGTGCTTCAACGACTGCAGTCAACCGTGCAGCTTCAGCCGTCCATGCAAATCCAGGAGGGGAATTGGTTGTTGCAATATCTGTCATCGAATGTGCAGCAGGTGCAGCAGCGGCACCAGCAGCAGCAGCAGAAGTGGGAGCAGCGGATTCACCAGCTGACGCAAGCGCATGAGCCACAACCACAGCAGCAGGTGCTGCTGCCGAGTCATGAGGCGAGTCAGCAGCAGCTGATGCAACAGATACAGCAGCAGCAGCAACTGCTGCTCCAGCAGCAGCAGCAGCTTCAGCAGCAGCAGCAACAGCAGCAGGTGCTACAGCAGTGCGTGCAGCAAGTAGCAGCAGTGGCCGTGATGCAAAGGCAGGAGATTCACGAGCTTCAGCAGCAGGCGCAGCAACGACACCAGCAGCAACTACAATAACCATGAGTGGCAGGTACAGCCAAGCTTTTGACGTAGTATAGTGTAATTCGTTCATTATGATACGGTAGCTCCAAGAAACACCCTAGAAAACAAAAATCCATTGCTGCTAATCTTCTACCACACCTAGTTGAAGTGAGGTTGGCTCGTAAACATGTGTGTGTACGGATTGGAAGTCACTGATTGGGCTTTGAGCCAGCCAGGCCTCTCGTTGTACCGGACCGGTACAGTGCAACAAGCAAGCAGGCATGAGAGAGGTTATTCTTGGAACACGAACTAAATGACTCAGCCAACAGTCCGCTGATTTGGTTCCTGGCCTCGGCAACCGCATGCAGTTGCTCGCACCCCTGCTCCATCGCCCCCCACCCAGACGTCCCTCTGGCGCTGCCAGCTTGCGCCTCCTTGCGCCATCCCATCCATCTTCCGCTGCAGAGTGGACATAACCAGTTGATAGTTGCAAGAGGAAGGGGGGCAAACGGAGGGCAGGTCATGATGATGATGCAGAAAGCTACGTTGGCAGATACGCTCTTGGAAGGCTGGCGTATCACGTATATATGCTAGCAGCAGAAAAAAAAAAAAAAACATATGCACGAGAAAAAAAGAAACAAACAAAAAAAAATGGCCGGGCAGCTTGGTGAAAAAAAATTTCCGAAATTGAAAAACTTCGCGACGATTTGCGAAGTCGCGAAGTGTTTCCGCGACTTCGCTCATGTGCCCAACCCCACTTCTGAACTTCGATTTTCAAAATCCAAACTTTCCCACCCCCTCAACCACACATCACCCCACCCAACCTTTCAGACCCAACCACCCCCTTCAAATGTTCTTCCATCGTTAGCACGTATAGGTCGACGTTGCGCAAATGCTCTTCCATTTCCTTCCCGCATTTCTCCACTCTTCTTCGTTAGTTAGACTTACGTAGTGCGCCATGGCGTCTGGCTCAGCTCCTAGTACTTCGACGAACAACAATCCAGCCTCTGTTCATGGCTCTACTGCCATCAACACGGATCCTGTTGAGGCTGGACTATCTGACCCCATTCTTAAACATTTCCTCATTCCGTACCACACCAAAGGCAACCCCAAGCTGTGCAAGTTCTGTGGCAAGAAGTTCGAGGGCGGAACAAACCGCTGTGCTATCCATCTTGCAACATGGAAAGGGCAGGAGGAGCGCGCTGTGGCGTTATGCAAGGACGCGCCCACGGCAGTCCGCGATGAAGTGCGTGGCATGTACGAGACCAATGCGGAACAGCAGGACTTGAAGCGAGGGGCGGCCGCTGCAGCAATTCATTCTACGCTTGACGCTGTCAGTGGAAATCCGGAGAAGAAGAGCAAAATTACGGGTTTCTTCGGCGATGAGGCGACGTGCGCCAAGGAGGACGCGGATAACGCGCTTTGCCTTTTGTTCGCGGCGCTGGAACTTCCGGAGCGCATTGCGGACGATCCGGTCTTCCGCTACGTGGTCCAGTGCATTGCGCGCGCTGAACCGGGGTACGTCCCTCCTAAGAGGCGCTACATTGGAGGGGCGGGCTTGAAGAAAATGGAGGTCGCGCTCGCCCCCGTTGCCGCGAGCTGGAAGCGGGACGGGGTAACCGTGTCGTCGGACATGATGACCGACCGTTGTGGCCGCCCGCAGGCCAACGTGCTCCTTGTCAACGACTCCGCCGCAGTTTTCGAGCAGGCGGTCGACTGCAACATGGAGTCGAAGACCGGGGGGTACATCGCCAGCCTTCTACGCCCCGTCATTGATAAGGTGGGGCCGGAGAATGTGGTGGCAATTTGCGCCGATGGGGGCAGCAACTATGCATCGGCCGCCAAGAAGATTGCGAGCACATGGCCGCACATTGAGCAAGAGCCTTGTGCCACGCACGTCCTTGACCTTATGATGGAAGATGTGGGCAAAATGGGATGGGCGAAAGGGCTTGTGGAGAAAGAAGGGGAAATGATTACCTTTGTGCGCAACCACCACTTCACCCGTGCCTATATGAAGAAAGTGGGGGGAAGCAGGTGCTCAAGCCCGCGGGAACCAGATTCGGGACGCAGTACATAGCTATGTCCCCACTATGCGAGGTGAGGAGTGGGCTGGCGGCGATGGTGCTCAGCGAAGAGTGGAAGGTGTGGGCAGCGGGGGACAAGGATAGGAAGATGGCAGCCGAGAAATTCAGGGCTGCGGTGATGGATGAGAAGTGGTGGGGGATGGCGGCGTTCTTTACCTCTCTCATGGAGGTGCCATTCAAGGTCATGCGGGCCACGGACTCTTCCGCGAAAGGCATGATGGATAAGCTGTATGACATCATTCTACAGCTTACCGAGGACATCAACGACAATCTCGACGATGCAGGCGACTTCTTGACCCGGGTAGAGAGGGCAGATATCACACGCATTGTGAAGGACAGGTGGGACAACTCCCTTGCCTGCCCCATGCATGTGGTTGGCCGGATCCTGAATCCGGCCAACCAGGTAGAGGGAATTTTCAGGAAGGATGTGGAGTGCGCACGGGTGTTCAAGGACTGCATCGAGCGCCACTATGACAACTAGACCTTCAGGCGTGGCAAGGATGGCGCCCCTCGCCGCGCCTCCCTTGTGCTGCAGGAGGCATTGCTGGCCTTCATCAACATGGAGGGCTTCTTTGGCAGGCCGGGCGCCATTTCTGCAAGGAAGGCAGTAAAGAAGGGGGAGATGAGCATGGTGCAGTGGTGGTCGTGGCACAGCACCGAGTATCCTGAGCTTGCCGCCCTTGCGTGCCGGGTGCTCACTCAGCTCGTCTCGGCTTCCCCATGCGAACATGGCTGGGCGCAGTGGGAAGGCGTCCACACCGCCCGCCGCAACCGGCTCGGGTCCGCCAAGTGTGCGGACCTCGTCTACATTTCGCACAACTGGAAAGTTGTGCGCAATTGGTACAAGAAGGATGGGGGCAGCACTGTTGTGCCCGGTAACAGGATGCCCCTGTCACCCCCGGCTATAACATGGATGAGGAGGAGGATGACATGCTGGGGGAGGAAGAAGAGGATGCAGTTCTGGCGGATGAGTATGGGGAAGGGGTGGTGGTGGAAAGGCCCCGCAAGGAAATCGGTTGTGGGGAAGCTAGCTGGAGCACGGGGTCGGGTGGGGATGTATGGGGAGAAGTAGCCCCAAGTATGTATTTCTGGATATATATGAGAATATTTTATGACTTGTGTTTTTGGGAAACAACCCCCCCCTCCTGAAACAGGTTTTTTTAGCCCTGCCCGGGAAAAAAGTTTTACTTGCCCGCCCAGCGTATTTTTGCATATCACCAGTACGCCAGCCCTGGCGTACCGCGTATATACCGTATAATACGCTAGCGTATTATACCCTGGGACGCGAATCTGCCAATGTAGGCAGAAAGATGGTAGAGCAGAGCCAGCTAGTGCAGAGCATTGTGCACACTGGCCACTCATCTTTGTGTAGCCGGTGCCACACTGGCAAATACACAAGAAGCTATCATATACAAGAGAAGTTGCCTTTTTTCTTGTTGGCAAACATGCAACGAAGGCAAAGCTTCTCAACATTGCTTTACACAAGCCTCCCCAGGGCACGGGCACGGGGCTTGCCTTCCTTGCCTTCCTTGACAAAACAAAGCAAGCATGCACTTGTCTCTCTTCCTTACCTGTGCTGCAGGGTATTTTTGACAAATCCCAAAAGCACAAACCACCCAGGCACTGGCACGGGGGCTTGCCTTCCATGACTTAGTGGGAATATACGCAAAGAACCTAAAGCGTATAGTGTATATACGCTTGCGTTCATACGCAAAACGCTATACGCTAGCTAATACGCTATACGCTTTCAGATTTTTTTAGGGGCTGCCCGGGAAAAAAATCGTGTGTATACGGAAAGATGCGGGATTTCCTGGTGAGCATTTCGCCGAAGTCGAGGAGCGATTCGGGGTTGTAGAGAAGCGGGAATGTGCCTTACAATCACGTCTGGCAATTCAGATCCACAATTTCGATTAGTACCGCATTGAAATCCATCCCATCTACTAAATCCAACCTGTCAAAAACCGTCCCCCCAACAAACTCCACTCACGCTACTAACCAGCCAGCCCAAATGCACTCCCGCTTTCCTCCCGATTCCTACTTCTCCTTCTAGCAATAGTGCCTACTACACATCCCACCCTAATCGAAGTTCAGACTTACGAGAATGCTACAAAATTCTTAGTGAGAATATGGAATACCTTCCCGATGTTGAGTACAACATTGTATTTCATCCTGCCCGGGATTTTTTTTCAGCGTTTAGCGTATATACGTTAGCGTATATACGATACGCTTATATACGCTATACGCTTATATTCCCACTAAGTTCCATGACAAAGCAGAGCAAAGCACGCACTTCTCTCTCTCCTCCGTACCTGCGGCTTGCCCTCCCTCACAAAGCAAAGCACGCGCTTCTCTCTCTTCCTTACCTGTGTGCTTGCTCTTCCTCAGCCTGGGAACTCGCACAGTGACTTTCCTGCCACAAACATGCCATGTTTGAAAATTGCAAGGCCCGAAATTGGTCCAACACCGGTCCGGATTCGAAAAGTGTCCGGAAGGAGTCTGGGTAAACCCATTCGGGACTGTATTTCACTGTAGCTTCGTCCGGAAACATGCCTTTCGGTCCCAGTTCGTTTATGCTTGCAAGAGATATCTTTCGGACCGAGTTTATTGGATGAGCAAAATCTCGATTGTGAGTAGCGCGATACCACCAATTACACCGCTGATTTATTTTTCTCTACAATGTTGAACCTCAACCCAATCACGAACCACAAACAGGTAAGGTGATTGGCCAAGCCTCCCCAGCCCATCTTCTTCCAAGCCAACCACTTCCTAAACCACACGTGTCATCCCACGAATCAAGCCAACCACTCAACCTTACCCCTTCAATCTCAACCAAACCCCCATCTTTCTCCTCATAACAGCGCAACCACTTTCACTTACCCACTCTCACTTCTCTTCATTCGTGTTGTGCTTAGCTTAGCTCCTTTGCCACGGTAGCACTTGAACGTAGCTCAGGAAGAACGTACGGTAGTATAGTTTTCTTGCTCGTGTCTTCAGTAAAGCTCAAGAGTAAGCCACTCATACTTTCCGTTGTTTTTGTTTCTGTACCTCTCCAGGTTCAAAGCCCAACCTGACTTCTTTCTCTAGGCGCTCGACACTGCAGGTGAGTGCCTTAGTAGGCGCGCGCCTCTGCAGGTGCGCGCCTCATTAGGTGCGATCCTCTGCAGGTGGTTCGCGCCTTATCAAGTGCGCCTTATCAGGTGCGCGCATCTGCAGGTTCGCGCCTCTGCTGGTGTGCGCCTACATGTGCGCGCGTCTGCTGCGCGCCTCTGCAGGTAAGCGTATTTTCAGGCGCACAATATGCGGGTGTGCGTCCAGCATTTATCTCGTCCTCTTTCGCTTTCCCTGTCGCACTAGGCCAGTCGCTTCCCCGTTTCGCTCTCTCCTTTTGCTTGCCGACTCAATAATCTCCTGGTTTGTCGTGATTATCATGGCGCGGCATGAACGGGGAAGCGATTGTCGGCCTGCTATAAGAACTCATGGCGAGACGAACAGTGGTCGCAAGCGAGCAAACGAAGCAGCAGTGAGCGGCGTACGGGGACGAGGGCGTGTCGGCAAGCAAAGGTATCTGCGTCGTTTGCATCGCGCGCGGCTCTGAAGGCCTGAAGGCGTGATTGTGTAGTTGCGTCTAGCTCGGCGCACCCCTCCTCGCTAACGAAACCCCAAATTTCGGTCGTTTTTTTTTGTTGTTCTTCAGGTAGGCAGAAGATCATATTCAAGAATAAATATATATTTTTATATAAGGCTACCTCTTGCTCTGGACTGAAGACTATTGCTACCATCAACAGGCTATATGTGTTGCTGCAAGTTCTAATACCTAACCTAAATATGAAGTTTTTTGAAAGTGTGTAACACTTTCTAAAAATGTGTATTTTGAAAGCGAAGCTGCTTGTAATGCAGCAATGGCAACGGCGAAGTGCTAGACGCTCTTCGCCAACTATATAGCAGGGGGTGGAGGCCATTTGGCCTCCACCCACGTCTTCGTTTGAAATTTCAAAGGTCTTATTTCATTCTCGTCCGACGACTTGGCGCTTTCTCTTTTCCCTCAGTTTCTCACTTCTCTCATAAAATAGTAGGCATTAACTCGATTGACATAGCACAACACGTGTTTCAGAAATTGTCGCCGGTACTACTCCCGTCCGCACAATAGGCGCTCTTGTTGGGGCTAATAAAGCGACAGCGCCACTGGCGCAAGTGGCGACGAAATCGCCACAGGCGCACGTGGCGACGAAACCGCCACAGGCGCGCGTGGCGAAATCGTCAGTGGCGCATGTGGCGTCAAAATCGCCAGCGGCGCAAGTGGCGCCAGTGGCGCTCATGGCGACGAAGTGGTCAAAATCGCCACTGGTGCACGTGGCTACGAAATTGCCAGTGACGTGCAATCACCCAGGGGCGCGTCCAACGGAAGTCGGCACCAGCACGCTTGATGGCGAAATCTGAGGCAAACTGGCATGAGAGATGCTCTTCTGTTGCTGAAATATGATAATTTTTAAACACACATAGTGTTTTTTAAAATTACGTATTTCGAAAGCGCAGCTGACTGTAACGGGAATTTGGCATCGTCGAAGCGCGCTAAACGCCCTTCTCCAACTACAAATCGTGGGTTGGAGTTCATTTCCCTCCACCCACGTCTCTCATTTTTCAAACGGCTCATGCAACTCAGTTCCTCGAGCTCATTTTTAGTTTTCCGTTCAAGCTGGCTAGAACCCGCTCTCTACCGAGAGGCGTTTCACCTTCAACATTATTAGCCGACATTCTCAACCACAACGCCACGACGATGGCTGCTACGCCGACACTTAACCGCGCGAACAACACCGTCGTCAACGACCCGATTAATTCCGACAACGATCGCAATGCCCGGGAAACGTCGGGCGAACGCCGCAACAAGCGCCGGGCAGACGGCGAAACGTCCGCCCCTACTGCCGTCGACGTGCTGCTGGGCGGGCTCGAGGTCAACAAAAACGCCGAGCGGCACCAGCAGCACCCTTCGGCGCCTGTGGCGCCTGTGGCGCCTGTTGCGCCAGTGGCGCCTGTGGCACCTGTGGCGAACGTGGCGCCACACGCTGCTGACGCGGAGCACGCGCCTGAGGCACACGCGCCCCTCAGGCAGTCGCGTCAGCGCCAGAGGCGCAGGACGGCCGCCTCGTCTGACGCGACCGTGGACCCTGACTTGACCGGGGCGTTGACCCCGGACCAAGTCAAAGCGCTTCTGTCCCTGTTACAGCAGCGACCCGCCAGCGTCATTGAAGCCGAAACTACACAACCGGCAGCATCGATTTCGGCTAAAAACGAAAATTCGAAAAAGGAGAAGGGAGCAAAAGGAGCGCCCACACGCCGTCACAACAAAGAAGCAGCCACCGGCATTCCCGAAGCCGCAGCCGACAATCAGGACTCCGACGACTCAGACGACGACGCTGGTGAGGCTCCAATCAACGCAACAAATTTTACACCCATGGAAAATCTCCCCCCCCTTCCTTCCACCAC